TTTGCGTCCCACGCTAATGTTGATGGAATGCAACATTCTTATCCAATAAGCATACAAACTATGTGCAAGTCTTTTCTGGATTTATTAGATATCCCATCTCGAAATATCCAACGACTTGGAACTGTATTTAAGATCACAACTTTCAAGATATGTTCCATGATCACCATCTCCATGCGCAACCATATCTTATAGCTATAAGTGATCTAGGGATTTCATCTTAAGTGCAAATATATGATAAATGCTTACTCTTAAAATAAAGTAATGCCTTATTATTTAATATAATTCCAATAGATTGTATTTACAAGTAGAATACATCCAATTCGATTAGAACGCCGGGTATCCTACTCTAACAATCTCCCACTTGCCCTAGTTCCAATCACTCATGTATCTTAGACCCATCTTCTCAAGATGTCCTTCGAACACTTTCTGTGATAAAGGCTTAGTTAAGGGATCTGCTATATTTTCTACTTAGTCGACTCGCTCCATTACGACGTCTCCTCTACCAATGATTTCTCTAATCAAATGGTATCGTCTCATATGTTTGGATCTTTGATGAGATCTTGGTTCCTTTGCTTGCGCAATAGCCCCATTGTTATCACAATAAATCGTTATTGGATCAACAACAGAAGGTACTACACCCAACCCTTGGATGAAGTTCCTTATCGAAACAGCTTCCTTTGCAGCATCAGATGCAACAATATATTCAGCCTCTGTTGTAGAGTCAGCAATTGTTTCTTGTTTGGAACTTTTCCAACTAACTGCTGCTCCATTCAGAGTAAACAAGTAACCAGACATGGATTTAAAGTCATCTTTATCAGACTGAAAACAAGAATCAGTAAAGCCTTCTAGTTTCAGTTCTCCATTTCCATACACCATAAAGATATCCTTAGTCCTTCTCAAGTACTTAAGAATCATCTTAACTGTTGGAACCCACGAGGATCTCGATATGCACAAATCACGGACAAACATTCAACATAAACCTATGCGCAGCGGATCTAAAGGTTTGATGAAGAAAACTTACTGCTTAAAATTTATGTAGATCTGGCTGGCCCGGACAGTTGACCGCAAATCAATTCTTCTCGAAATCGAACAAACTTGACCAATCCAGAAAGCTGACGTCACGGCGAAGTCAACGGCGTTGACCGGTCGGAAAACGGAGTTCACACGCGCTCTCACGCGCGACGACAAGCTTCAGCGACTGGGACCTTCGGGCGGCGCGTGGCGGCGCGTGCGGCGGAGTCCCGCGGGGATCTCGACGGCGATCTCTTCG